GGTCGTATGGAGCCAAAAGGAACCGGAAGAACAAAACTTAGATGATTCCGTGTACTACCCATAATTCAACCGCCGGTTGAAACTCCATGCGTTGCGATTCCCGCAGACACTAGTGCAGGAGTTTGCTCTATTGTACTATTAGGAAACACTATGCTTTAACGGGCTCCTAAACATAAGTATACACGGGCTTCAAGCGTTTGCGCCGCCATCGAAAACGCTGCCGCGATTTGATACCTAGACATGCTGGTCAGTAAATGAGCCCTAAAACTATATACTAGACCAACGTGGCGGGTAAAACGGTGTGTCTTACTGCCTGAATCACTATGGCTTCGAAACCCCGTAAGCCACTTCAGCCTTATCTACAGCCACGCTATTTACCAAATGAGAAACGTTTGTTTGCACGTTCAAGCAGTCGAGAGAGGACATATTGCAACAGGAGGCGACAAAAGCACCGTTGAAATTCCTACGCGACACGTACTTGAACAAGCGGCTGTAACAGCAATGTCACACATCACGAAAGACAAGACAACACTATGAATGAGTGTGCGTGCGTGTGCTGCCGAGTGTGTTGTGTCTATCTCTCTTCCCTCTCTCCTCTCTATCTTTCATCTCTCCCATCCCCCTTCCATGCGCAGGGTAGCAAATCGGCTGATTAACCTCCCTGCCGTTCTTTTCCTCCTATTTTCCTTCCTTCGTTTGCACACAGTTTGGTAGCACACACATAGTTTGCAAACTCGTCTTGGTAATTAGTTCACAAGTAGATGCACTCGCGTATACGCACAATCGCACTACTGCATACGCAATCATTCCAAAGTAAATGGGGGCATGAACGATTGCGTGTGCGACTGCGTGAGAGATAACCTAATCACGCTCTAATCTTAGAAGCGTGGCGGTTAGGGCTAGTTCGTATGACATGACGATTGTTGCTATAGCGCGAGAACAGGACGACGACAAAAGGACAAGAAGAAGACGAGCTCTCGTCTTCTTGTCCCTTTTGTCGTCGTTCTTGTTCCCGTGCTATAACAATCGTCATGCTCTTAATCACTTGAACGCGTGCGCGTCTACAGCGCATGTAAGTCCTTGCAAACACTCCTGTCCAATTCACGGTTTTTTCACGTAAACAGAACGTACGCCACGGCGCTATATCGCTCGCGCAACACTCGACTGACGCCGCCCCGAGAGGTGGACGAGGAGCGAACTAATAAAACGAGTTTAGGGACAAAGACCTCGCGAGCAATGCCCACCTAAGGCCCCATTCTTCTGGGGCAGCCTAATTATCCACGCCTTGCAAAAGCGCGCCGTTGTCGAGATAGGGCGCATATATTTAGCCCACGCCTTCCCTTTTTTCCCCGACCTCGCTTTCTTTCCCCATTAGGAAACCCTCGGCTGGTCCTGGAGTAAAACTCGAACAAAACGGGGCAACCATGCGAGAAGCAAAAAAAAAAAAAAACGCAGCGCGCCGCGATCAACAAAGCCGCGCATGCACGCCTATAGCCTCCCGAAATTTCCGGCTAGTAAATTTTAGCGAAGCGAGGCGGGAAAAGGACATCGTCGGCGCGTATGCAGGCACAATCGGATTTCCATTATCCACAGTTCCCTCCCTCCCTCCCAACCCTTGGCGCGCTGTGTTTATATCTTCTTTCGTCGAGGTCGACACAAAGGCGCGTTGTTTTCGTTTCACACTCCTGTCCGTGTTTGCGCGCTTTGTACTTTAGCATGAATACGTACCTCAGCTCTCTCTGGGTTATATGGAAAGCGGCCGTGGTGAGGTGTTGAACATGTGCACATGCTTGGCGTGCCGCGGCGGGGGTATTTTTCCTATCAGCTTGCGGCGCCAGTGAACTTGCTGGAGTGATGGCGTGCAATGCCCGAACGGTGTCCGAGAGAGACTCTTACCTAACGAACCCCTTTTTGTACGGAAGACTATACTCTAACGTGGTCGATGCGCGTGTATTGAATGGGGTGAACGGCATTGGCCCAGGTAGAAGCGGTGCTTGCCGTGTTCGGGTTTGTCCTGTGGTGGTGCGGTTCTCGTTGTATACAGCGCGGGTAAGCTATAGAACACAAGGTGTTTTTTGTTTATTGTGTTCCCGCCCTTCTTTGAGGACTTATGGATGTTGTCGCGTGCCTGTGGTATAGTAAACAATAACAACGGCAAGACAATATTGTATCTGAAGAAAAGCTAATTTGTGTCTGTAAATAAATAAATAAATAAATAAATAAATAAATAATAAATAAATAAATAAGGTGGAGGACGGATGGATGAAGAGTCCTTTATCATGAAACAGGGACGCGCAGGTCCTCCGTGGGGACATATGCGGGACTTCACCAGACTACGATAATGGTTCGCGCTTTCTTTGTGTTCCCACCTTTTTGAGAAGCAGTCACGTGCACTGAGGCGGTGTGTTGCCAGTAGTGTGGTTATTCAGTGCCCCCCGGCCACCCTTGATCGGGCCGCTCTGAATGTAGTAATAGTCAAATACTAACAGCTGCGCGTTCATCCAGTCCGAAAAGGAGGAGGAAGAAACTGTTAGAGACACTAGTGGTTTTGTTGGCTGGGCCTATAGGCTATCCACGTGGGGACGTCGAGGTCCGGAGGTGGCCTGTAGTAAAATCAATCAATCAGTCAATCAATCAATAGGTCAAGTGGTGTTAATAGGTCTATTGTATGTAAAGCTGTAATTGTGTTATTGTGTTCGAACAAACAGAGAAGTGAATTGTTTTCAACATTGCCAAATCACGAACACACACACACACACACACATATATATATATATATATATATATATATATATATATATATATATATATATATATATATATATATATATAGAGAGAGAGAGAGAGAGAGAGAGAGAGAGAGTAGATCCTCCGTGAGCAGTCACTGCTCATAAATGATCTACTTGACTTCTTGCAACTTTACGGCCACTCCACCACCATGGCTGCACATTATATATATATATATATATATATATATATATATATATATATATATATATATATATATATATATATATATATATATATATATATATATATATATAGAGCATCGAACGCGCAATTCGAAGGTCGTAGGTTTGATTCCTGCTCACAGTTGGTAATTTTTTCATCCACTTTTCTTTCTTCTTATTTACATTCCATTGGCTTTAATAACTTCCCCTGTACATTCCTTGGCATTACTGTCTGTTATATCTCATTAATATTGTGTTAAAACACGGAAAAACGAGCCCTTAGGTATACACTTCTCTCCCTTATATATATATATATATATATAAATATATATATATATATATATATATATATATATATATATATATATATATATATATATATATATATATATATATATAATGAGATATAACAGACAGTAATGCCAAGGAATGTACAGGGGAAGTTATTAACATTAATGGAATGTAAATAAGAAGAAAGAAAAGTGGATGAAAAAATTACCAACTGTAAGCAGGTGGCGCTGACTGTCGCTCCTACTTCTAAATTCACAGATAAACCCAAAAAAGTGGATGGAGGGAGTGCCGCTGTAATAGCTCAGTGGTTAGAGCATCGAACGCGTAATTCGAAGGTCGTAGGTTCGTTTCCTGCTTACAGTTGGTAATTTTTTCATCCACTTTTCTTTCTTCTTATTTACATTCCATTAATGTTAATAACTTCCCCTGTACATTCCTTGGCATTACTGTCTGTTATATCTCATTATTATTGTGTTAAAAACACGGAAAAACGAGCCCTTAGGTATACACTTCTTTCCCTTATATATATATATATATATATATATATATATATATATTCGCAGTTTTGGTTCCTGCGACCTTGTAATCACAACAATAAGAACTATGCGATGGAAGGGGAGCGCCCGAAAGAGCTAGGGAGGACATCATTTCCATTTACAGGAAACGCGTGCGAGGAAAAAAGGAAGCGTAACAAAAAGCGCCCGTCTCAATGGAAATACGTCGCTGAAGTTTTCTCACGCACCACTGACGTTGGCTGAATAACTCCCTTCAGACATTTTTTTTGTGCCCCTGTTTGTTTTTTGTTTGTTTGTTTGTTTGTCTGCCTCGTGATGATTGCGTACCGAACACGATTGCGTACGAAGCACGAGTGGCGTCGAAAGGCTTCGGGAAATGGAGCGTGCCTTCTAACACGAATGTTTATCTCTATAAGGATTATTATAAACGAAGAAAGAGCGCGAGAGATCGAATTCTTCTTTAGATATATAGTGAGCGACAATGAATTCGGGGCATGCCGAAACTTTTTTTCTTTCTGCTTTCGTAGTACGCACTGTGAGTTCAAATGAAAACAAATGCGCTGAGAATGGAACTGACTCCTCATAGTTGCTTGTTATAGATGACTCTATTTCGTTGGTTCTTATCATCGGTGTAGTGCAGGGGACAGAACGTTATCTCACGATTGGATGCTCCGCGCAGCGCTCCCATAGACTGGCTTATCAATTCCGCGCAGTACAGCGAAGGCAGTATCAGAAGCTATGGAGGCTCCACCCTGTGTTTCAGTGGCTTCGAGAGCAAGACTCGCCCGTTGTGCGCTGTTAGTGGTTACTTGAGGAGTTTCCGTTCAACTAGCATCGCTTGACTGCATCATCGATTTCCTGCAGGGTAGCTCAGTCTAATATTTAGGTTCTAATAATCGACTGCTAGAAGGGACTTTATCTTTTCGAAGTTTAAACAAGGAAATTCGCCCCTCACGCATTATCAGTACGTACCTGATGCGTTTCGATTCAATCGGCATAGTTCTAGTGGCGATAGTCGGTGAGAAAATTCTCACCTTGTCCTCTTTCCCCTCCCCAAATCGTTGGAGCTGTTCATTCTCCTAAAAAAAACAACAACAACAGGATGTTCTTTACACCTGATTGGCTGGTATCGCTTGTAGCTTTCGATTTACTGCACCGAATCGATGAAGCGTAGACATTTACAGTTTTTTGCGCAGAGACCTGCGAGTAAACCATGTTCATTTTTCTTGCTTTGCTTTTATAGGGAGAGACAATTTTTCCTCCGGAGAGTTCTGGACACAGGTTTGGCCAGTCGAGAAGGTAAGTCTTCTTGCGATTATCGGGGAAGCTCGTATGTATAGCGAGATAAATGCGATTTGAAACTGATAACTCGTGACATTGAGTTGATACTGTTGCTTTATGCTTTTTTTTTAATTGGAACGAAAAAAGATGATGGACTTGTCGCCATAACCTGGCGATGGCTACCTCTTTTCACTTGGCTATTAAAAAAACCTAAATAAAAAAAAGAGCTCAGGAGTGTAGTATATAGTGTCGCACTACGCCGTAAACGGAAAATCAATATGTTTGGCACAAGAGCAAACAGACCGTTTCACGCAGTGCCAGTAAATGCACACAAAAAAGCTACGCTTCCTTTTTTCAATGGATCGTTCCGCGAGACTGTCAGAGCGGCAATCATCTTTATTGTGTGCATAGAGCGGGCGCAGCATTGGCCTTTCCTTAAAATAGCACCGCCCCGATGCTATAGGCAGGTGAGTTGTGCATAAAGCCTCTCTTTACAAGCGACAGTCACAAAATCACTCGCTTACGCACGGCTTTATGCGCATTACGTGCGCAAGTTCAGGTTGGTGCTGGTGACGTTTCAGTACAGGAGGGGGGGGGGCTATTCGGGAAGAACTTATAGCCTGTACAGGATAGTCGCAGCAGCACCAGATAAGGTCCGCAATATATTTGAGCTGCTTATAGTCAAATTCCACCAGACTTACGTCATGAAAATGCGGTGGCGCTGTCTTGGTAGGCAAAAGACGCTCTGCCTACCGCAGTTTCTGCTGCGTTTTCAATGGTGCATGTGGTGTTCTTAATCAAGCAACAAGATAAAAAACGGTATGCCGACGAGCTGCGTAGCGGTTTGTTGTGAGTCGCGTCTCAGAATTTAGTTTTGTTTGTTGGCGGACATCGCAGCCCTCAGCGCTTATGGCGGAAGTTACGTGCGGACATCGCTATAATTTTACCCATAATGTCGACATCGGCCTACCTGTGTTCACAAACATGGAATTGGTCTATAAAATTCCTAATGTAGAAACGGCTTATTATGGTGGGGCAGTTCCTTACTTTAACGATCTCTGATATTTCGATTATCTTCTACGCTGTTCACGTATTTACGTGTATGTGTTGATCGTCATTTTATCAGAACTTCTTTATCTCTCGATCTATTTTCATAATTCCGACGCCTCAGTGTAGCCTGTGCTCGTAATATGACGAGCAACGTGCTCAAGTCAGTGACCGGCTGAACAGCCTTCACAGACGACCACTTAAATTAGCAAAGTTGTTGGGCAGTGGCAGATCATGATAGTCAAAGACGCAGAGTGAGTGCTCCTCGTGATTTTTAGTGGCGATGCTCCTTGAGCCGTGGGTCGTGCGTCCGCGATGTATGTAGTAGTAGTAGTCGTATATAGTAGTAGGTAGCCACCTCTCATTTAGTCCTTTGAATGCCCGCAGGATGACGGTACTTCTATACGATCAATATATAATGAAAAGATGCGAGATGGTGGTACATGGAGTGTTCACTAGATGGACGGATGGACAAACAGAGAAGACAATGGTCGAATTGACGAACGCGCGGACCGATGAACGGACAGACAAACAGATGTACGGACGAACGCACGGACGGACGCACGGATGGACACATCGATACGCGGACGGACGGAATGACGCACGGAATGACGCACGAATGGTCAAAAGCAAGAACGAATGAATGGGCGGAAGCGCGGACGGACTGACAGACGCTTCGCGCCACTCATCATCATTAGCTCAGCGGATATGCTGTGATTTTTTTAATGAACACAAGTTTAATCAACTCTTTATGGTTGTCATTATTGGTCCCGTCCATAACATTGAGTTATATTTTGAACATATCCCTCATAGTCCCGATATCTGCAAATGCAAAGAAAGCTATATCCATACGGCCTCTTCTCCGCGGTGTGACCACATGATGTGTGTTCACATCGCGAATATATATATATATATATATATATATATATATATATATATATATATATATATATATATATATATATATATATATATATATATATATATATATATATATATATATATATATATATATATATATTGTCACGTACGTCCCGCGAAAAAAGACGAAGGCGACAGCGCATACGCGCATCTGCACGCTTTTATGCAGAACGCAACAACGAGAAGGATGAGGAACTCTCTCTCACGCGGTTAACAAAAAGACCGACCGGTTGCTGTTTTCTCAGCGTCTTCGAGTACGACCTCTCTCTTGACGTCGCGACACTGGTGGAGGTGCTGGGTATACGGTCCCGAACAACGCTTTCTTGCATCAGGTTGCAGGCCCCAGCACCATACGAGACCGATCCATCAAAACCCATACCGTGTGGCTCCGAAAGAACGTGAGGAGATCCAAAAGCAAGTTCAGAAGATGCTCCAAGATGACGTAATACAGCCTTCCAAGAGTCCCTGGGCATCCCCCGTGGTATTGATTAAAAAGAAAGACGGCAGCTTGCGTTTCTGTATAGATTACCGCAAGTTGAACCAAGTAACGAAGAAAGACGTCTATCCACTGCCACGTATAGATGACTCTCTTGATCGGCTGCGGCATGCACGCTATTTCTCATCGATGGACCTGCGAAGTGGCTATTGGCAAATAGAGGTCGACGATAGAGACCGTGAGAAAACTGCTTTCGTGACGCCCGACGGTCTTTATGAATTTAAAGTGCTTCCATTCGGGTTATGCTCAGCGCCAGCCACTTTTCAGCGTTTAATGGACACTGTGCTATCAGGACTTAAGTGGCAGACATGCTTGGTTTATCTAGACGACGTTGTCGTCTTCTCAGCTACATTCGAGGAACACCTAAGTCGATTATTCGCAGTTCTACAAGCTATACGTTCGGCTGGCCTGACTTTAAAGCCAGAGAAGTGCCATTTCGGTTTCAACGAACTTTGCTTCTTAGGCCACGTGGTCAGCCACGAAGGTGTTCGACCTGACCCGGGCAAAATCGACGCTGTCGCAAAGTTTCCCGCACCGCATGACAAAAGAGCAGTGAGACGCTTCTTAGGCCTCTGCGCTTATTACCGACGATTCATCGCCAACTTTTCGTCTATTGCGGCGCCTCTGACGCGGCTCACACGAGAGGATGTCCCCTTTCTTTGGAGCGAAAAGGAACAAACAGCGTTCAATGAATTACGCCAACGCCTCCAAACACCTCCGGTTCTGGCGCACTTTGACCAGGAAGCGCCAACAGCACTTCACACCGACGCAAGCAATGTAGGCCTGGGCGCCGTACTGATACAATGGCAAGATAACTGCGAGAAAGTGATAGCCTATGCCAGCAGAGCTCTCTCTCGCACGGAAGAGAACTACTCGACTACCGAGAAAGAGTGCCTCGCTGTAGTTTGGGCGGTTCTCAAATTTCGACCGTATCTGTACGGCCGCTCATTCAAGGTCGTCAGTGATCACCACTCGCTTTGCTGGCTCGCTAACTTGAAAGACCCATCCGGCCGTTTAGCACGCTGGAGCCTTCGGCTTCAGGAGTTTGATATGACCATTATTTATAAATCAGGGAAGAAGCACACCGACGCAGACTGTCTCTCGCGGTCACCTGTTGAGCCTGCCGCTATTAATGACGAGTCTATGGACGCCGCATTCTTGGGAGTCATCAACGCGGCCACTATCTCACAAGAGCAGCGCCGTGACCCTGACCTGCTTTCGCTTATCGATTTCTTAGAAGGACGACGGGAAGACGTGCCGCGAATTTTTGCGAGAGGAGTGCCATCTTTTTGTTTAAGGAACGACGTCCTATACAAGAAAAACTTTTCTCCCACCGGCAGCCCATACTTGCTCGTCGTCCCTGCATCACTGCGAAAAGAAATTCTGGAAGCCTGCCATGATGAAGTCACCTCTGGTCATCTCGGTTACACTCGAACATTGTCCCGTCTGCAAAACAGTTACTACTGGCCTAACCTACCTGCTGCTGTGAAACATCACGTCCAAACATGTGCCGACTGTCAAAGACGCAAAGCACCACCCGGCAGGCCGGCAGGTTTATTACATTCCGTTCAAGTACCAGCAAAGCCATTCGCCCAAATCGGAATGGATTTCCTGGGCCCATTCCCAACTTCTACCACAGGGAACAGATGGATCATTGTCGCCACTGATTACTTGTCTCGCTACGCAGAAACTAAAGCCATGCCGAGGGCCACAGCAGCAGAAGCGGCTCATTTCTTCATAGAAAACGTCGTCCTTCGGCATGGTGCTCCAACAGTTCTCATCACGGATAGAGGAACTGCGTTCGTGGCAGAACTTTTGGAGTCGGTTCTCAGGCTCAGTGGTACAGCTCACCGGAGAACAACGGCGTACCACCCACAAACAAACGGACTAACAGAGCGGCTTAATAAGACCCTCGCAGACATTGTTGCGAACGACGGACCGATCCCGCCGAAGCCACCACTGTTGCGAAAGCCGGCGACGCCAACACGGCCCCGAAGGCGCCACTGCTTTCAACTCCGCCGGGAAGGTCACCAGCCGTTTGGTAGCGTATGTTTATCAGCTCGCGACTGCTTCTGCGCAGAGCTGATAAGACGAGCGGACGAGACGACGGTGAGTTAAACAAGGTTTATGTACAGCATATATACAGAGGCGTTACAATTTCGGCACTGGGGCCGACAGAGACTCGAAGAGCCGAGCTCTCCTCTCTAATACATAGGTCAACTTTTCGCCTAAGACCGCCGACTCACACACATGTCGGCTCTCCGACATGGGGACTCCTCTCTCGTAGGACTGCCGATTGCGACGCGCCGCAGGGCTTCTTTATTTACACCGGGTCCAACCAAAATGTCCAATCAGAAGCGCCGCTGGTCGTCAGGGCAGATTCCTCCAATGGGGTAGCCGCGCCATGCGTCAGACCACCAGACACGAGGACGCCGGCTCGCTGTCACGTGCGCAGCTGACTCAATGCACGTGGGCCAGAGGGGCGCCGCGCGTGTTCACGCCGTCGAGTTGATCGCGCCAGGCGGACTGCGGGCTGGCCTTGACCCAGATTGCC